TACTTCGGGGATGGACATGCAACAGGCAAACACGAAACATCATGCTGCCTCGCGTGGCGATGACCAGGTGACATCCAGCTTCCACCAAAAGCTCTGCTATGCTCTCCTCAGGATGTGGCCCGAGGTGGGTGGTTCTCAAAGCTATGATCCCTTTTTGGGCACCCTAATTGTTAGGTGCCGTACTATATTATAGGGACCCCCAAAAGCGACCATAATTTTGACAACCACCCAGGTTGATGGCTCACGGCATGGGCCAAGCTTGCGGAAGGCCTGCCTTCAGCAATCCTTGCCGGCAAGGTTCTGAAGAGCATCCATTGATAAACACAAAGGATAACCCGTCCAGCTGCCTGAGTTGCCAGCTCAGCTGAACCATAGCCATGTCTTGCATCTCTTGGGGCATTTAAGAGAACAACAACTGCTCATACCAAGCATGCACATGACAACGAAATACAGGCGCATCATCAGCACCACTGCTACCACCACCACCGCCGCCACCACCACCACTACTACCGGCACCAGCACCAGCCCCAGCCCCAGCCCCAGCACCTGCACCAGCACCAGCACCACAGCTCCAGCAACGACAGTAGAGGCAGGAGCAATGACAACAGCATCAGCAGCAGGAACAACAACACGAGCAGCAGCACAGTCAGCTTCAAGGCCAAACGGTACAGCAGTGACTGTGCAGTGTGCGTTCGTGTCAAGAACACATTAAACAGCAGGTTGCAGCCATGGTACACTGATACCGTAGTAGATTTAGCATCAATTTGCAGATACTCATCAACGTGGCTGCACCGCGTTCATGTGCTGCATCATCGTCAGGGGAAAGCAGGGCTCTACTTGCATCCTAGCTGCTGGCTGCCGCCCAGGAGTTCCTCTAACTGTGGGCGATAGAGGATGTGCGCACCTCCAAAGCCGTTCTCGAAGACAAGTCCGACCTCCGTCGAGGAATGAACCGCACGTGCATAATTCCTTCCCCCTAGGTTTGCAACCCCCCCCTCCAAAGAATAAAAACTCAGAAAGTGTCTTTGCCGTTAGAGGGCATTTGCATCCCTACTGTCGCTTTTGAGGGATCTTGCTCTTGCTCCTGCTCTGGCTCCGAGCTGGCTTTTGCTGTTTATGCTCTTACTCTTGCTCTTGCTACTACTCCTGCTCTTGCTCTTGCCTTCTTTCTTGCTTTTGCTACCGCTCCTGCTTTTGCTCTTGCTCTTACTCCTGCTCTTGCCTTTGTTCTTGCTTTTGCTCTTGCTCCTGCTCTTGCCTTTGCTCTTGCGTTTGCTTACTCCTGCTCTTGCTTTTTCTCTTACTCCTGCTCTTGCTTTTTCTCTTTTGCTCTTGCTCTCACTGCTGCTCTTGCTTTTGCTCTTGCTCCTCCTCCTCCTCCTCCTCCTCCTCCTCCTGCTCTGTCTACGGACCCCTTAATGCAAATCAGGGTGTAACGGGCAGGGATTTCGGGAGAATTGGCTCCTAAATGTCTTTTTCTGATTAGGGTTATTTGCAAAATGGTGGAAGCGATTACACATAAACCTGTAAGCCCTCGCTCATCCGGAGAGAAGAACAGCATTGGTCAAAACATCCAAGCAGCTCCGTTCTCCGCAGTCACCACCTTGGTCGGGACTTGTCATAGTTTCAGGAGTTGTTGTCTGAGGACTTAGCTGCGACATGTGCCAAACTCTTTGGACATCCCCGAAGTCTCTCGCAATCGCTAATTTCCAGCTGAGCAAAATCAGCACAATCTTCCTCGTTGTATATCTTGTAGTACTTGATGACGCCAAAACCTTACCTTTGGTTAGTAGGGAATGGAGGAATGGGGTACAATTATAACTACCATTACTACCATTCTTCCCTTCCCTACTAACCAAAGGTAAGAAACGAGAAGCCCTGGCGCCACGGCCGTTATGGTACCTGCATTACCAACTCCTGCGAGCTGCAGCGGGTCAGCAACTGCAGCTCGGCTTGAGACATGCTAATTACCCACAGGCCCCATAGTAGTTCCTTTTTGGGATTACCTTATACGATTCTATATATGAACCCCAAAAAGGAACTACTTTGGGGCCTTAGGGTAAGCACAAGGCCGTAAGAATCTGGGAGCGTTCCCAGATTGAGCACTACACCCCAAGCTAGTACCTGGACCCCAAAAGTATGTAGAATAATAGGTATCGAGCCATTATTTCACTTACTTTTGGGGTTCTAGGTAAATCTGGGGGCCTGGCATGCACCGACAGGTGAAGGATGATTCCTCCTGTCGATCGCGCACGTGTGAGGAGCTGCGCGAAAGTTTTTGTGGTCGCAGTGCCAACCTTGATGCTCCTTGGCTGGGCTGAAGGGCTTTGACACCCAAAGAGAAAAACAACGTTAATCAGTGAGAGTAGAATATCCCACAACTGAGACCAAAGAGTTCCTTGACACAATCAAAAACAGCTTCTTATAGCTTCTTGAACACACGACAACGATGGCGTCCTTTCTTGAAGGCGTGCTGGCTTGGACGCAGTACTGTAATGTAGCCCTGCGAGAAGATAGTATGAGGCTGACAGGGTCAACCCGCACCGTTGCAGAGAAGCGGCATATGGCACTTTGCTTTCTGGAGTGATTCCTCAAGCATGTCCAGTTCCTTGGGGGCAACTCAGCTTGTTCTGCATACATGTCAGCGTTTGCACAAGTTGAGCTTTCATCCTAAGACCCTCAGCCCTCAAGCCTAATGTGGGGGCCTTCATGATTGGACTATAGGGTTTTGGGAGACATTCCAAAACATTCCGCGATAGTCTTATAAGGGACTAACGAAGGGATACGAATACAAATCACTCAGAATCATGTATGACAGCGCGTTCTGGTAAAATCTCAGCTGCTCCCTGGATGTTGATCTGCGGGATGCGCTGGTCGAGTGGTGATGCCTCTGGCAAGAGCGGGTGAGGTCCGTCTGATGGTCTGCCTGACACTTCTCCTTAGCCTAAACCCTAAACCCCATCAAACCCTACAGCCCTGTCAAACCCTAAGCTCGGCGTGTAAGGATTGAAAACAGCAGGTTTAGTCTAACTGTCGTCAAGTAAAGTTATGATGGAAACCACGCTTATGCTCGCCTGGTACGTAAAGCCATATACTTGCGACCTGATTCCGCAAGCAGTTCCGGCCGTCGCTGGACTAAACGTTGGGACCACGCCCGGAATTCAGACGAAGCACATAGAGCACATGAAGCTCGGGCTGGTGTACAGCAGTTCCCATTGTGCCTCGGAAGTCAACCGGTGTTCTGTCGTGTCAAGGAGAACCCTGCAAGTAAAAGATGGAGAAACCCTGAGTCGCAAGCTTGGCTTGGTATTACCGCACGCAGGAAGCACACCCTGTCAGGACATGATGGATCTGCAGCTGACTGTGGAATGAAACAACATGTACTGCATCTGCTGCCGATATCCCCTCTGAGACGAGCTTGCGACGTGCTTCTCTTAAGAAGTACAACAGATGCGCTCTCGAGCTTTGCTTCAGGTGCACACCGCACGTCCTAGCGTCAGAGTCTTGAAGCGTACGTGGGACTCACCACAGTGGCATCCTCGACGTCCACACTCTAGGAAAGTGAAGCTCCTAGTCTTCATGCCGTCCAGCAACCAAGTTCATGGCACAGAGGCATGGAGAAGTTAAGGGGGCTTCCGAAAATAGGGGACCCTAACATAGTGCCCTAAATAGTAGGATCCTTCTTATAAGGACCCCAAAATAAGGTACCTCTTATTTTCGGAAACTCCCTTAAGGAGATCTAAACCAAAGAAGAGAAGATCTCCAACTAGCAGCTCCCAGCCTCTCTCAGATCCCGTGAGTATGGCGGAGAACGGCTTCGCTCTTTGCGACGATCCAAGCATCGACGCATAGAGCTGCTCCGTTCCTGAAGGACCAACTGACCCTTAAAAGTAGGGGCCCTATACCCATATACTATGAATTCCTATAATGGTATATGAACCTTAAACCCTTTTAGGGTTCATTTCGTCCTTAAGGTTCCTCCGAGCAACTCGGGTCATCTTGAAAGACCGCAAACCCTCGAAGCAAAGCAAGGTATTCACCCACAAGACACTCACTGCTTGCTGCCAAGCTTCTTCAGCACGTCCCCGTCGTGTTTAGTTTTTTTGAGATTTTTTGGCTTTTTAGAGTTTTTGATTTTCGGCGCAGCAGAGATCTACAGATGAAAATCTAATCAAGGCGTGCCAGGCCCCCTTGTATCTAGTTCCCCGGACTGTATTTCTGCATTCAGCAACCTCCCGGAATGGAGCGACGAATCGCTGTGTAGGATTCCTGCATTCGACATCCCGAATCCATTGCATCCAAAGCCTAAGCCGTAAAAACCCTAAAACGTCTATCTCCCTCTCGGGGACCCAGCACGCCCAAAGCCTTTGAGAGATGAGTCTAGTGTTGCTGGCCAGTCTTCTGTGGCCGCAGACGCAGAGCCAGAACGGCTACAGTAGCGAGGACACAGTATGCAAAGAAGCACCACGATAACTGAATCATTACCTGTGATCCAAGTCTGAATCACGGCTCCTTGTCGACGGTAGGTTTGGGATGTAGGCCATGTAGGCTTCAGGCCAACCAAGCTTCAGACCATCTTTTGGGGCTTAGGGCTTATGGTTTCTTGCAACACCCCAGAAAAAGTTGAAATGTTGATGGGAGGCCAAAAGGGGGGTTTAAGATTCTTGGGTAGGGGTTCCTTAATATGAGCCCTATTGTGGGAACCCCAATCCCTACTGAATTACTAAACCCCATAGGCTAACCCTTTGGCCTCCTATGAGCAACGAGAAGATACTGGCATCGACAGCTCTTCGGTCCCCTTCTTGGCATACGGTTAAAGGGCTCCTTAAAGGGATGTACAAGGGTTTTATGGGGTATCTACGGGTACTATAAGGGTACTCAAAGGATCATGGGACTTCGTAGCTAATTAGTGTTCCACCACACCTGCCTTGGCCTAAGCTCCTGGACAAACAAAAACAGACTTGAAATCTCTCAGACCCTACGCATGCCAAGAGCGGCACAAAGGAGGCCATGTGGCGATACTCCAGTCCTGAAGGCCAATGATGACAGAAACAACAGTCCTCTTCGTCATTAAGATCTGCATGAGCACCATGTCATCATCATCCACCATTCATGGCTCCACCATCATCCTGTTGGAGCATGCACGAAAGACAGCTCCTTCATGTCCACCCGATTGCTCTGGAACTAGAGCCCCGCTAGACCCCACAATTCAGATTCCTGGCCCGGCAAAGCTCAACCAGACCATTACCACAACGCGCCTACCTGGCTTCGCTCTCCCTGACCACGAACCCAGATTCGCAGAATTGAAGAGCTGCTCTGAATCTGCTAAACAAAAACAAGACTGAGGAAGGGGCGGCACCATTCCCCGAGCCCTTCTTCCAAATGCTCAACCTCGGAAATCTTCCATTGATTCTCCTTCTCCTTCTGACGCCGATCACGATCACTACCATGCGCACTGCTACCGCCGCCACATCGCATGTAATTGCAGCACCCGCAATCAGCATGTCTACGACAACGTGACAATGCATGTCGGCGCCGTTGGCGGGCTGCTGCTGCAGCTTCTGCATCAATTGCAAGCATGCGATCATTAGTTTCGGCGATCTTGACGCTGCCTTTGCTGCTACATCGACATACAGCCGTCTTACTGCTCCAGTCGTTTCCTGTTTTGCTCTTCGACGAGACAACCACCCTGCATCCGGAAACTTTTGGTTCCAGGCGATGTAGAAGGGACCACCCTGGCTCAGCAATCATGAAGAACTGGCTTGGGGCGGGAACTGACGTCCACTTGAAGCTAGGGTCACAGTGCACTGCCTGAACTGAACATTGGCGAAAACCATGCTCCCAAACTAGACACCATACAGAACGCTCAAGCCCCGGTGGAATGTGCAAGTTTGCAAGCGCCCAGCAATGCTGTGACACAGGTCAGGCTCGCTTTCATCTTCTTCTTCGCCGCAGCCATGGCTGCTTTCAAGACCTACTACTTCCTGTTCGTGTAGTCTGCGGTCTTTCATGATGCAGGTTAGCTTCTGCATCAGCGGCCGCGAAGCAGTATAAAGGTGCGATCAAAATAACATCTGCGAGCAATAAATAGTTGCTTCCCACATGATACCAGCCTTCAAGCCGAAACATTACAGATTGGATTCTGACGTATGCGAGCCGTTAGCTTCGTAAACAGCGAGCCAAGGTATTCAAGCCACGCCCTCGGTCTGTATCTCATGGTTTTCAGGACATGAAGACCTCGCAAATGGCGAATGATCTTCTCCACACCAACGACCATGATAGGCTCCTTGATACACATACCTACGGGAGTCCTACCTGATGTTGCCGTTTTGGACGTGCCTGACATGTGACTGTGTGAGCCTAGTTACCTAGTTGCGCAACATACGAATTCAGGCCACCGCTAGCATCGTTTCCACTAGGTCTTCCTACGTGCCTCATTTGATTCCTCTCGTTGTGTGGATGTTGGTCTAAGTCTCTTCTCTGTGTTCCCAGACCGTCACATGATTTTGCCAGCCTGGTATCCGTACCCCCCCTTGGAACCACAAAAAATAGTATGTTTAATATTCTCTTGGGTTTTATATGAACGAAAATGAAGAATAATCCGTAAGGAGACCATGGGCATGCCCGGTGAGAAGTCCTCCGCTTGGAGCACCCCATGCGCAGGAGTTTCGAAGATACGGCTCTCCGTGGGAGGGTGGTGGTCTTTGGTTGCTATAGAGACCATAATAGCTACTATAAGGTCACGAGGTATTCTGTGTTATTCTAGGATAAGTGTAGCAACGAAGCCCCAGCCCTAAATCCCTAAACCCTAAGCCCCTTCGGGTTTCCTTGGGTCAGAGCTCGGAAGGGAGTCAAAAAGCTTCCAGCAGAGGTTGTCTTTGAGGTCCACGTATTTTTTAGTAGTAGTAGTAGTAGTAGTAGCAGCAGCAGCAGCAGCAGTAGAAGAAGTCGTCGTCGTAGTCATTAGTGGTGAAATTTAGGGTTCTCTGGCAAGGGAAGAACAAGCCCCAAATTCCAAAAGCGGAGGCTCGCTCCGCTAACCCTTTCCGTCGCAGCACATACCACATTGGCAGTTACGTTGAGGCACACGTGCAGAACGAATTGGTAACTCTGGCAAATAGGCATTTGGAAATTAAAGCATCTGTGGTCTCTACACATTCAACTGCGTGCGCATCTGCTCTCGGTGCAGCATGCGCTACAGAATTATTTTGAATTTTGGCTTGTCACAGGAACGGTTGCATTTTGCATCCTTGCTGCCGCTAGGTACGAGAAGGAGCTGCAATATGACACAATGAAAGCAAATCACCCACAGAACCGATTGCTGACTACGGTTGCGATCGGCAACTATCTTGCTGTACCGGCAGGCAGCTCGAAGAATCTCATCCAAGAGTTCACAGGAAGTCCTCGCAGGTTAGGCGGACCTGTTGGGGTCGGCACCTTGACATCAAGCATGTTGAGCATAGGTCTGTGCGGGAACCATCGCAAAGTGTTGGATGCGTGAAACAGATGAGGAAAACACCAATGGTTGCCCAGCAGTATTTCTCTCAGGGTCATCATTATCAGTAGCCACAACTGTCTTGAAGGCACCAGTAACCCTAAACCCTAAACACCAGTTTGCTGGCGGCACAGTGCTTGAACTTTGGCCGTTGTGGTCATGGTGGTGGTGCGCAGCAACATGCAGTTTAGTCAAATGATGGGTGATGGTGACGACAACGACGATGATGGTACCTGTGCTGAAAGCGATGACTATCAGAAATAGTCGCTGTTCGCGATATCAGAACTCGTGGGCACTTCGTGCGCGCATCACAACTACCGCCACAGATCTCTGAAGTATGGCGCCAACTTTCACAGAATGGTATCATGCCCATGTTTTCCTTTCTCGCTGCTTACTCGCAATGTCCTTGCTAAGACCCAACCTCATGATACATTTGCTGAATGCATCTGGTAGCGTAAGGCCCTTGCACAACATTGGCCTTTGGCGCCTCGGTATCGGCACAGTCTTGATATGGAGGCAGGAGACAGAGGGCGTGCACGTATCAACCTGGGCAATATGAATTTCCCGAGCTTAACCAATTCGTGAACCCTGTAGACCGTCTGAGTACTCTGGCCCAAAAAACGGCTAACCTTTTCAATTATGGTAGGGTTATTTAAACCCCAAAAAGTTGAAGGTTAAAGGCTACCTACTCACTGATTCCGAGTCAGTACGGCAAAGTATTGACACTGTGGATCTGACACGAAGCGGCTTGGTCCTAGAGCCGTACCTTCAAGGAAAAGTGGTGAACTCAAGCAGGGATCCCATGTTCATGCTCTACTCCACATGCTGCAGGTCTGGCTTGTAGAACTGAGCCGCACACGAAACTTGCATCATAAAAAGTCGCTTGAATTCCGCAGCTCCTCAGCATCACACAAGGAGCAGACCCCAGAACATCCTGCAATAAACCTACGAAGCTGAACCCCTACGAGGCTCCTTCCCCTAAACCCTAAACCCCTAAACCCTAAACCCCTATAAACCCTAAGAAGCTCCTTCCGCTGCGTCATTGACATTTTTTCGACCTGGAGATCATGGAGAGCCACTCTCTACCCGAAAGCATGCTTTCGAAGGATGGCAGCAGGTGCGCTTTCTGGAAGTGGAGACAAATACACACATACAGAGGGTATGTAGGTATGTATGTATGTATGTATGAATACAAAAAAATTAACAAACAACTAAAAATAAATAAACAAGTACATATATATATATACACACACATGTATATCTATATGTGTGTATGTATATATATATATATGGATTTATTTGTATATACACATGAATCTGCATATACATATATGTGTACGCATATACATATAGAACTACTTACATACATCTACATGTATGTATACATACAGTCCGGCAAGGCTGCCAAGCTGCGCTAATCTGTCCTGTAGAACGTTGAACTGGGAGTTTCCGATCATTAGGAGTACCCTTTATAAGGGTTCGTTTGAAAGGATCTATAAGGGTTCTATAAAGGGTTTAGGGTTTAGGAGTTTCCGATGATTGGGGGTACCTTATTTCGGGGTCCTTAGAAGAAGAATCCAATTATTTAGGGTACTATGTTAGGGTCCCCTATTTTCGGAAACTCCCAACTGGATGACCTGATCGTGTAACCTAAACCCTCCTTCTACCCTGTATTAGAGTTCAATCACCTACTATTAGGGACCATATACCCCTATTTGAGGGTACAAGGAGGGTCCTGGTAAGACACTACAGCGAAGCCTGCCATGCCAGCGTTTTAATGGGCAATTTTTTCCATCTGCCATGGGGTTTAGGGTTCAGGATTTCGTGGACTGAACTGCACAATGACGTGTTTCAAGCTTCCAGTTTCCAGACATTCCTGTATCGCTACACCTCCCCCGATGTACCCATACAGCCGTATCGCCCTCTCCATGCCACTGCATAGTTTTGTATATGCGAACATGCGACCAGTGCCATGCGATTCATGTGCGGTGTAGTCCCGAGGCACCGACTAAATCGCCAAGGGGTGATCGTCGTCGCCATACAGCAAGCTCCATTTGGACTCCTAGGGGCAAGGCTCGAATCTAGACTGACTGGCCCAAAACCCATGGAAACAAAAGTTGAAACTTTCAGAATCGACTACCTTATAAGAACCCCAAAAGTTGAAAAGTTGAGTTTACAGCCCAAAAGTATATCTAAAGGAACCACTGCAAGGCTAAAACAGACAGTCACGAGAAACCCTGTTTGCGGAGGACATAACCTATCGCGATAAGCATGCTGGGCGTCGGCCTTTCAAGCAAGCAACAGGCCTTGTAGGCATCAGCAGAAAGCGAGGGCTGAATGGGCGGGGTGTTGTTCACCTGCGCAGGCTTCTCGACGTCGGCTTCCAGCCAGGGTTTCCATGCCGAAGCAAACCCTAAACCCCAAAACGTAAAATTCGAAACCCTACTCCCTGAAGCCCACATCATGGGTGTAATCATGATCTTGTCCGAATCAGAAACCCTAAACTCTGCTGCGGCAACCTGAAACCCGAAACCCTTGCAGCCTCAAGCCCTAGCTTGGAGCGGGACCAGCCCTGACCCAAAGGATCCTACGTACTGTTATGGGGTTTTGGGTTTAGGTGTAGTCCCTAATATAGAACCCCTACATTCTGCCATATAGGTACTTAGGACCCTTTGGGTGACTGAATCCACGGCTGGGGCCTGCGTGATCAGGGCACGGTAGGCTCCGCTGTCGCGAAAGGCAAGGCCTGGACAGTCTGGTTTAGGGTTTAGAGTTGGAGTTTCCGAAAATTAGGGGTACCCTTTAGAAGGGCTCCTTTAAACGGATCTATAAGGGTTCTATAAAGGGTTTAGGGTTTAGGAGTTTCCGAAAATTAGGGCTACCTTTTTTGGGGGGTCCTTATAATAAGGATCCTATTATCCAAGGGGCTATATGTGCCAGCATCCGCGCCCCCCCCCCCCCCTCCCCCCCCCCATGGTAATCCCCCTCCCCCCCCCTGTGGTTCCTGTGGTTCCCCTCCCCCCCCTGTGGTTCCTCTTGGTTTTCCCCCTCCCTTTTCTGGTTCTTCTGGTTCCTGTCTCCCCCCTCCCCCCCTGTGGTTCCTGTGGTTCCTCCGCGTGGTTGCTGCTGCTTTGTTGTTGCTGCTGTTCTTCTTCTTGTTCTTGTTCTTGTTCTTGTTGTGTGGTCGCCCGGGTCGGGGGGGGGGGGGATACCATTGGGGGGGGGGGGTCGAGAACGCGGAGCGCGGGCACATATATTAGGGTCCCCCAGTTTCGAACACCCCCACTTGGAGGATCATGGGACTTAGTAAGTCAGGTTTAGGGCTCCTTTTAATAAGGGTACTATAGGGTTCTAGAACAGGGTTCCTTAGAGGGATCTACAGGGGTTCTATAACTTAGTAAGTCAGGTTATAAGTACCTTAAGGTTCATCAATTGGAATAAAATTATGGCATATAGTATGGTAT